TGCGGAGCTCGTCCCATCGAGCTTCAACTACAGACTTTGAAGACGAGTTCGCCTGAAACAACGCACACACACACCCAAACCAAGAAACAAGCTCCATCAGAAAGACACGGACAAATTCGAGCATCACGAAGGCGTCACTGAACGGAACATATACAGGGCAACTTTTTGAGCGTATACACCATCACAAACCGTGATCCGCAACATTGATGCAAAACCAAAACACCGTCCTGTGAAGACACATGGTTGGACAGCTTTGTAATCAACTCCTCTTTGCTGTCGCTGCTTGACACCCCAATGTGCTCTGCCATCCGCTTCAACTCCAACATGCCAAACTTGGCCAACTTCTCACGCAGACGGGCAGGTCCTCCCTCCACCACACGACGTTGTAATTCAAAAATGTCCTCTGCGCATTGAAACTTTGTCAGCAGAGTGTTTGTGATATCATTCTTTCGACATCCCTCTGGCAGAAAAATATTCAAGGACGCAGCAATGGCGATCAATGCCTCTTTGTTGAAAGAAGACAAACGTCTCTCCAACCATGCAACGCCTTGAAGTCGCAAACCCTCTTCCAAGCACGGCAACTGGTCCATTCTCGCGGACAATCCATTCAAAAAATGGAACAGTCGCCACACTAGTATGACACGCGTGACGGGCGCGCGACTCGAACCAAAAGCTTGTTCTGCAAACATGTTCCGCAAGCAAACTCTACCCATTCAAACTTGCAATGCCTTCACTACCTCCATGCAAACATCCAAGCTCCAGACATTCCTACCACGGATGCCCTCCTTCATCCATCCTCCGCCGATGCCAAACGAATTCTTTGCATAATCACCATTGCGTCGTGAAAAACAGATATGCTCCCAAATCTTTATTGCTTTATGGAAATGTCTTGCCTTGCAGCACTGACTCCAAGTAAGGCCCCGACCACAACGGTGATGTCATCGCTCAAAGCAGCTCCATGTCCAAACTCTTCATTTGCTTCACAGAACACCTGAACGACCCCCTCGAATTTGCGAGAAAAGTGATTATCAAGCAATTATCAGTTAAACTCGAGTTTTCCAAGAGTCATGACTTCTTTATTCAATCTGATATTGAGTAAGAAGTTGCGAAGAAATTAGATTAACAAATATTAAAAGAAATGATATGTGGAAAGAGAGAAAGAGGGGGTGGATGTGAAGGAATGACAGTGTGGATGCGCAGGTGTGATATAGATGTGCAGATGTGTGGGTGTGTGGAGGTAGAGAGGTAGATCTGCGGATGTGAGCGTGTGAAGATGTAAATGTACCGAGGGGAGGGTGTGTAGACGTAGATGCGCAGATGCAACGGCAGCGCAACGTTGTGGGTCAGGAGCGCCAACCTTGGTGCATATCTCACTGCGCAAGCACAACGCTGAAGAGGATCGAATCAAACTTCTTATACAGCACAGCAGCGACACGCCGCGTGTACACCAGCGTGTTTCACGCTCCCCACTAACACGGCGCCACGCAAACGCACTTTCCACCAAGGCCGCACGGTCTGCCCACACACGAAGCAATCCTATCCCATGATGCCGCCAATCATCCCGATCACCAGCGACACACCGCGGTTACACCAGCATGTTTCGCGCTCCCCAGTGGCATGGTGCCACGCAAACGACTTCCGACCAAGGCCGCACAAATAAGAACGCGTGGCAGTGCGACATCACGAATGTAATTTTGCCACACGGTCTGCCCACACACTAGAAGCAATCCTATCACACGATACCGCTTATCATCCCGCAGCAGCGAGACGCCGCGTTTACAGCAGCATGTTTCGCGCTCCCCAGTGGCACGGCGACACGCGAACGCACTTCCCACCAAGACCTCGCAAATCCGCATGGTACTGCGACATCGCGAACGTAATTTCGCCACACGGTCTGCCCACACACTAGAAGCAATCCTATCACACGATACCGCTTATCATCCCGCTCACCAGCGTCCGACACGCCGCGTTTACACCAGCAAGTCTCGCGCTCCCCAGTGGCACGACGCCACGCAAACACACTTTCCACCAAGGCCGCGGAAATCCGCATGGTACTGCGACATCACGAACGTAAATTGGCCACGCGTTCTGCCCACACACTACAAGCAATCACATCCCGCGATACCGCCAATCATCCCGCTCACCAACGACACGCCGCGTTTACACCAGCGTGTTTCGCGCTCCCCAGTGGCACGGCGACACGCGAACGCACTTCCCACCAAGACCTCGCAAATCCGCATGGCACTGCGACATCACGAACGTAATTTCGCCACACGGTCTGCCCACACAAGAAGCAATCCACGATACCGCCAATCATCCCGCTCACCAGCGACACGCCGCGTTTACACCAGCAAGTCTCGCGCTCCCCAATGGCACGGCGCCACGCAAACACAATTGCCACCAAGGCCGCGCAAATCCGCATGGTACTGCGACATCACGAACGTAAATTGGCCACGCGTTCTGCCCAGACACTACAAGCAATAACATCACACGATACCGCCAATCATCCCGCTCACCAGCGACACGCCGCGTTTACACCAGTGTGTTTCGCGCCGATAGTGGCACGGCGCCACGCGAACGCACTTCCCACCAAGACCTCGCAAATCCGCATGGCAACGCGACATCACGAAGGTAATTTCGCCACACGGTCTGCCCGCGCGCTACAAGCAATCATATCACATGATACCGCCAGTCCTCCCGCTCCAGCGACACGCCGCGTTTACACCAGCATGTTTCGCGCTCCCCAGTGGCACGGCGCCAAACGCACTTCTCACCGAGGCCGCGTAAATCTGCATGACACTGCGACATCACGAACGTAATTCGCCACACGGTGTGCCCACACACTAGAAGCAAACCTATCGCGCGATAATTACCGCTTATCATCCCGCTCACCAGCGACACGCCGCGTTTACATCAGCATGTTTCGCGCTCCCCAGTGGCACGGCGCCGCGCAAACACACTTGCCGCCAAGGCCGCGCAAATCCGCATGGCACTGCGACATCACGAACGTAATTTCGCCACACGTTCTGTCCACACACTACAAGCAATCACATCACGCGATACCGCCAATCATCACGCTAACCAGCGAGATTCCGCGTTTACGTTAGCGTGTTTCGCGCTCCCCAGTGGCACGGCGACACGCGAACGCACTTCCCACTAAGACATCGCAAATCCGCATGGCACTGCGACATCACGAACGTAATTTCGCCACACGGTCTGCCCACACACTAGAAGCAATCCTATCACATGATACCGCCAATTATCCCGCAGCAGCGCGACGCCGCGTTTACAGCAGCATGTTTCGCGCTCCCCAGTGGCACGGCGCCACGCAAACGCACTTCCCACCAAGGCCGCGCAAATCCGCATGGCACTGCGACATCACGGACGTAATTTCGCCACACGGTCTGCCCACACACTAGAAGCAATCCTATCACACAATACCGCCAATCATCCCGCAGCAGCGAGACACCGCGTTTACAGCAGCATGTTTCGCGCTCCCCAGTGGCACGGCGCCACGCAAACGCACTTCCCACCAAGGCCGCGCAAATCCGCGTGGCACTGCGACATCACGGACGTAATTTCGCCACACGGTCTGCCCACACACTAGAAGCAATCCTATCACACAATACCTGCAATCATCCCGCTCACCAGCGACACGCCGCGTTTACGCCAGCATGTTTCGCGCTCCCCAGTGGCACGGCGCCACGCAAACGCACTTCCCACCAAGGCCGCGCAAATCCGCATGGCACTGCAACATCACGGACGTAATTTCGCCACACGGGCTGCCCACACACTAGAAGTAATCCTATCACGCGATACCGCCAATCATCCCGCTCACCAGCGACACGCCGCGTTTACACCAGCATGTTTCGCGCTCCCCAGTGGCAGGTCTGAGTCCAGCTCCGAAAGGCTCTTTCCCGCATTACATTTGCACTACAAACTGGCAACTTCTGCGTCCAGCTCCGAAAAGCTCTCTCCCGCACTACATTTGCACTACGAACTGGCCAGGTCTGAGTCCAGCTCCACAAGTGAAGCGCCAAGTCTCCAAAACCAGCGTTTCCTACGAGACTTCCTCCAGAAGTGAAGCGCCAAGTCTCCAAAACGAGCGTTTCGTACGAGACCTCCTCCAAAAGTGAA